GAATTAGTAGCCTCGCCCCACCCCAGGCTTACGCCCGGAACGGCGCTCTGCGCCGTTGGCTCGGGAAAATCTATTACATGCATGTGGCATATCATACGTTTATATTGATTTCTTTAGTATAATATTTAGTGCATTATTAGTGCATTAATTAACACTGTACCTGAGAGTTGTCGTCCCTCTCAGTTTTAATTCTATATCTTTGTCCTTGAATGAAGCCATCCAATTTAGGAGAATTTCTTTCTAGTTTTAACTGGAACTTTTCATTTTTATCTTTGACGTCGATGCAAACGAATTGTATATCGCCTCCAAGTTCCCTTCTAATCATTCTGTCCTTATAGGAAATCTTGAATTGTAAATTTAAATTTATTTTTAGTTTGAATGTTCCAAAATGCTAATTCATATCGGTTAGAAAAAAAAACAACTTACGATGCGGTGTCTAATAAGCCATTCTGCTCGGACACAATTTTTTGGTGGTCCAAATATTTCCAATTTGATTGTATCTCCACCTTGAGCTTTAGTTGAAGAAACAAATTCGTTATGGTATGAATGGTATGTATAGGCCAAGCATGGTATGAATGGTATGTATAAGATAACCATCCATATTATTTATTTATCAATCGAGATGTCTGGTTTCCCCGAACTTTGGAAAATAGCACAAGTAGTACCTATATATAAGTCAGGTTCACTTGATCAACCTGACAGTTATCGACCAATTGATGTCAGTGCTTCCGCAATTTCCGAAATATTGGAAATAGCAATTCATCAACAGTTGATGAACTTCTTATTAGAAGATTTATTATCGGCCCAGACGATCCACAGCTCAAGCTGTCATCCTGTTCATCGACGATATTCGGAAAGAAGTTAATAGAGGAACTCTAGTGGGCGCTGTTTTTATAGACCTTAGTAAGGCCTTCGATACTTGAAGTCATGCTGTCTTATTTAAGAAGCTATAGAAGCATATAGATACAAGGTAACGAGTTACTCTGGTTTACTGACTACTTATTTTGTCGCCAGCAATATGTCAATTTAGTGAACCGGTTTTTGTGCCACAGGGTTCAATAATACCACAGGGTTCAATATTGGAGCCACTGCAGTTCCTTGTATTTTATAATGACATGGCGGATCAGCTCGTAAATGCTCGTGTTTTAAAATACACTGATGACACTATTATTTACTTCCCTGGACAGGAAATTGGAGCGATTGAAAGAGCACTTTCTCAGAATCTCAAGCTCTGTGGCAGTACTTTGATGAAAACGAGTTCATGATAAATAATAGTTCATCATATTTTCTAAAAAAACCCTGTAGATAAATAGGGTAGGAGGTTGGCAGGTAGTAAAATACAACAATTTTCAGCCTCAGGGCGTATATCAGGCGGTTTATACAATCACGGTGTAACGAAGCCCTCTGAACACTTTAGATAAAGTTCTTTAATAACATATCACAAACAAGCATCTTCTCCACAAAATATCTCTCACAATCTCACAATTATTTCAGCTATAAAACTTACACACTTTTGTCTCCTTCGCCATGCGGTCATACTTCTAAAATCATATACGCCAAAAGGTACTTAAATTACATACTCCAAAAGACACTTCTTCACACTCCCCCCACCTAATATCAATATAATTAAAGACTATACTACTAAAATTTTCATGGTCAACTCAACATAAAAGTACATATAAAACAGTTCAACAGTTCAATCGATAAAGTTCATAATACACTGTCTTAAACGTGTAACATTCAATTACTATAAAGTGTTTAACTTGTTCAGTAATCCACAACAGGTATTCCATAACGATCTGATACCCTTCGATTGCGTCTAAGGTTGTAACCATGCATCACATTGGCACCATCATCGTTTCTTTGAACATTGTGGCGTTCTTCAGGATTCGGCAGTTCATTACCAATTTCGTCAAAGTCACATTCAGAACTTTCGGTATCTTCACTTTCTTCGTAAACCTGATCAATATCATAGTCAATCGAAAATCGTTTTAAATTGTTCGCATGACCAATCTTTCTTGTCTTATTGGCTAGCGACTCTATCTCACAGCTAATATCTTGAACATCAATAACTAGATACGGCCCAACGTATTTTTCGTCTAATCCTCGAGCTCTACAGTTCTTTAAAAGTACCGTATCTCAAATGGTAAAGTCTGTGCTCCGACATGCGCGATTTCGTGAATCATAACAACGTTTCTGTTTCTTCTGGGACTGTTCGATTCTCTCCACTACAATCTTTCGCATGTTATTCTGTCACTCCTTTAAATCTTCTAGGTGCTTGGCGGGTCCATGAGTCGGTTTGGTTTCTCGTTATTCAGATTCTACTCCTAGAAGCAATCTGGGATTTCTTCCATACAACATTTCAAATGGTGTTGCTCCGGTTGAAGACTGCTTGCGAACTCAAACGCTAGTAAAGCATGAGGTAGTTGCTCATCCATATTTTCTTTGCGTTTCTTGTCCCCAGGATTTCCAAAGCCTCTTCCTCTCTTCGTCGCTCTAGTATCATTTTCTCTCCAATGTCTCTCATCTCGTCTATCATTGCCAGCTCGTTCTTCTCGTCTTAAGTCGTCTGGATTTCCAAAACCTTGCCTGTCCCTATTTTGTCCCCTAGTGCCACGATTGAACCCTTCACCATCACCTTGTCTATCTCTGTTTCGTCCTCTATTCCTCCAGTCTGTCTTCACCTTGTCTGTCCCTGATCGGTCCCGAAACACTTTCAGAAATGGTACGATTTCTTATTCAAGCAGTTTGAAATATTTCATGCTTTGCCGGGACTCTGGCTCTGACACAATCGAATCAAGCACGCACAAGGGTTTAGTAGACAAATCAAGAAATGTCAACACCATTCTTGAAAGGTCAACGTTGACTTTATTACTCATTAGCCAGTCCAGGCCAAGAATAATCTCAGATATCATGTCACTAGCAACATAAAACTCATGACATGATATGTGTCCAGGATCAACTTTAACATCCAAGGCAGTCTTACCCAGAATCCCTATCGGGGAATTGTTTGCTGCTTCAGCAATTATATCAGAAGGAGTCAAACAGGCATTTGTTTCCCTTTAATAATTGCCACTCATTCTTGCTAACTAGTGAAATTGAAGCACCCGTATCAACAATACAAAGCTTAGATTTCCCATTTATCTGGGCTTCAACCATGACCCTTCTCCTTTTGCTTGCTGGGGAAATTGTTCATAATCTTATCTTAGATTGTGTTTCGTTTTGCATGCAAGTTCGGTTTTGCTGGTTGTTCAAACGATGATCTTGGCTTTGTACAGCCTCCTTAGTATCGTCCAATACAATGGCAATGTGACCTCCTTTGCCACAACGATAGCAAACTAGACTTTCTATTAGCGACATGCTTACCTTGACTGTTTTGCACATCACCATGTCCTGATTTGGAAATAAAACAGTTACGAGCTATATGTCCAGGCTTTTGACAGAGATAACATACTTTAGGTGACAACTGAGTGTCTCGTTTGAAACTGTTCCTTAATGTAGGGCATTGTTTTGCAACATGCCCAAATCCATTGCATGCAGAACATGTAACCACTTTACGCATAGAACTCACAGCTCCGATCATACTGTTATTGCCTGTACCCTGACCTTGCATAGCCAACGTCTGCATGGTTGCATTTGCAGCTTCGACGAATCTTCTTGCAATCAATAAAGCATCATCCAAATTACTTGGGGGTTCTTGTAATAATTTACTCTGAGTTGTAAGATCTCTCAGTCCAGGAATAAACTGGTCGACTAGCCTACTGGCATATTCAACAACTCGAAACCCACATTTTGCACCAGCTTCTCTTAACGCCACAGCATAAGAATTAACTGACTCACCCAGATGTTGAGCACGTTGGTGAAAATTATATCTCTTCTCGGTAGGTGATTGATTTCTTTCGAACAATTTTTTCAGCTTCTTAAGCCAATTCTTGTAAGCATCAGCTTCTTCAATGAACTCGACTGATTTTGCTAGGCGAAAAGCGTCCTCGTTGAGATTAAATAGCAAAACAAACCTTCGTTTCTTCTCATCTACAAGCTCGACTGCTTCAAAATACAATTCCAATTTCTTAACAAACAGATCAAAATCGTCGCCAATCTTAAATTTATCTGGTCGTCTAAACAAGGAATGAAATAATTTATTTACATCAGCATTTTCAGGCTGAACAACTTCGTTGTCTTCTGCCATATTAACTTCGCACATGTTCAAGTAAATTGATAAAACCAACAACCGAACATAAAACACGCGGTGACACAAATATTAAAACAAACATCCAGTATAACAAAATAACACAGAATTCCGTCTCGGTGGGACCTCCAAATATGTAAACTTTAGATAAAGACTTTAATAACATATATATCACAAACAAGCAACTTCTCCACAAAATATCTCTCACAATCTCACAATTATTTCAGCTATAAAACTTACACACTTTAGTCTCCTTTGCCATGCTGTCATACTTCTAAAATCACATACGCCAAAAGGTACTTAAATTACATACTCCAAAAGACACTTCTTCACAACGGCTTTAGCCTTTTTTGGCCTCCATGCATTAAGTATCGGTAATTGCTAGATAGTATACTTCAAAATAAGATTTCCGTTTTTATAACGTAGAAAAAACCATCCTAACGCAAAACTAAACTCTAACCCTAATATTAAACTTAACCGTAACCCCAACCCTAACCTAACCATAACCCTAACCTAACCCTAACTTATTTAAAAATTTGATATAAAAACGGAAACCTTATTTTGAAGTATACTATCTAGCAATTTCCATTAAGTATCGGATAACAGCAATATTTTATAAAACAGTATTTTTCTGATATTCCCAGGGCTTTATCCAAGCATTTTGCTTATCCCCGTTTTAGAAAAGAAGATTCAGTTTTGGTGAAGCACGAATGTAGCCCTGGAGGTCTAGGGACAAAGCACTGTTCTAATAGTAGACTGGATATAGCTTCTCTAGGTGCAATCTCGAAACCAGGGCCCGCAATCCTCTGTGGAGGCTTGCTGAGGCTCTGGGAAACACCGGCGATAGTCGGGCTCTGATTGGTTGTTTTTCAACATCCTCGTCCCCAGGTTCTCCAAGTTTTTCAACTGCTAATTATTATTCAAACTTTGAGCCGTATTTAGTTATTCGGATTTCAAACATCGTTTGAGGAGTGTAGGAGGCGTGTAGGTAATTAAGGGGATTAGGGTAATACGAATTTGCATAACTAAGTGTATTCCGATGTATAGATAGGGATTATTTTTAACGCAGGTGTATACTTTGCAGTTGAAAGAGCTCGTTAGAACGAATAGAATTGACGTCTTTACTATCTCCGAGACATGGTTGAACACTACGGTAACAAATAAGAAATTAGAAATCGATGGTTACAAATTACATCGCCTGGATCGATTGTATAAGAAAGGCAGCGGTGTTTGTGCATACGTTCGTAAAAACATAAAGTCATCGGTGATCAAAGAACTTACTCAGATCTTTGATACAAGCTTCCACGAATTGTGGATTAATTTGCAGTATAAGAAAACAAAGTCCTTACTGGCCTGTGTCTGTTATCGTCATCCAGATTGTCCACTTGACTGTTTCGAAAATTCTCTCAAACCTCAGTACGTCCATGCTCTTAGTATGCGAAAGCCGACCATCATCTTGGGAGACCTAAATTGCAACATGCTGAATAAAACAAGTCGAAAATGTAAATCATTAACCGAAATGACGTCAGAACTCAATCTCAAACAAATTATCGAATCTCCAACTCGCATCACAGACATTAGCCAATCTTTGATTGGCGTGATTTTGGTCAGTTATCCTAATACCATACGTGACAGTGGTGTCCTAAACTGCACTATCAGTGACACCTGCCCGTGTATGTTACGCTTAAGCTAAAGCCTACCAAACCACCACCCACCCACATTACATTTCGCAGCTATAGGAACTACGACCCCGAATTATTTGCCGCTAATCTCGCATCTAAATCTGAACGCCTTCTTTCCGTCGTTTCAGTCAATGATGTTAATGAAAAACTCAAAATTTTCGATGCCGTACTTCAGACCCTCGATTCTCATGCCCCAATAAAGACCCTAAAGGTCAGAGACAAACCGCGCCCTTTTGTGACACCTGAAATAAAAGAACTGATGGACAAGAGAGATCGACTACACGGCCTTTTTCTTAAGACACGAAACCACAGCGATTGGTGCAACTTCAAAGCAGCTCGTAACGCTGTTAAGACCGGGTAACTCATTAAAGCACAAAGAAATCATGTCTACAATGAAGTGATGAAGCATAAAAACAACACGGGTTCCTTATGGAAAATTATCAAAGATACTGCAGCTTACAAAGAAAAAGAGACGGTCGTCTATAGCAAAGACCCAAAGATAGTTGCTGAAGAGTTCAACCACTTTTTTCTTCTGTTGGGGAGAACACAGCCATAGCAGCATCTCAATTATTACAAGATTATAATAATATTATATTATTATATTATTATTATTATATTATTATTATATAAGATTATTATTATTACCCTGATACTCCACCCACTACAGCGTTTAATAGAAATTACCCCGTATACGAATCTGAGATGTTTAATTTTGACCCTGTCTCCTGTTCTGAAGTTAAAAACATTATAATGTCCATGCCCACCAACAAGGTTCCAGGCAAAGAAAAGTAAGCATGCGCATTATTAAGGACTGCTTACCAGTCATCCTCGGACCATTAACAGATATTATTAATGCTTCACTGACGTCTTCTGAGTTCCCACAATCCTGGAAGGAGGCGGAAGTCATTCCACTAATAAAGGAGGGTGATCATGAACTACCATCCAACAATCGTCCCCTTTCCTTACTTATAGTTGTGTCAAAAATTTGTGAGAAGGTCGTTTTATGCCAATTTACAACATTTTTGTTCCTTGATGAATGTCTGACATCGCATCAAAGCGGTAACAGAAGATAGCATTCCTCGGAAACTTTGAACGTTTTGGTTGATGATATCATATTGGAAGCTATGGACCAGAAATCTGTAACTGCACTTATACTATTAGATTTATCGAAGGCATTTGATAGCGTACATCACCCAACATTGCTTAACAAGCTAAGACACATTGGCGCATCTCCTGTGGTAGTGAAGTGGTTCGAAAGCTACTTAACGGGCAGATCACAATTTGTACGTATTGGAACGTCTGTTTCGTCACCTCTTAACATCACTCACGGGGTTCCACAAGTGCTATTTTATCTCCACTCTTGTTTAGCATCTATGCAAACGAGTTACCACTGGCCCCACGTCGAAGCTCCCTTAATTCATATGTTGATGATTCAAAGATGTTCTTGTCATTTCGTGTTAATGATGCGATTGACACAAAAGAGTACCTTCAGGAAGATCTCAGCCGAGTAGCAAAGTGCTGCTCTGAACTTCATCTACTTATTAATTCGAAGAAAACCAAGTATTTACTTTTCGGAACGCAACAACAGTTACACAACAACAGTAATCTCCCTACAGATATGTGCCTAAATTTTCTAGGTGAAACTATTAGGCCAGTTCCTTCAGCCAAGGATTTAGGATTAATAAGGGACACCAACATGTCATACGATTGCCATATCACCGAATTAGTCTCCTCTTGCATGTCCAAATTGCCACAGATCAACCGAGTAAGCAAATGTTTTGATAAAGAAACTATATCCCTCTTGGTATCAGCATTGGTAATGAATAAACTCCTTTATTGCTCCTCTGCTTGGTCGAACACATCGGCCAAAAATATTAACAAGCTACAACTCGTACAAAACCTCGCGTGTAGGATCGTGACAAACAGCAAGATCATATCTCACCAAAACTGCAAGAACTGAATTAGCTTCCAGTTAAGGAACACTTACTTTTTAGAGATACAGTTTTGATGTACAAGTGTATTAACAATCTAGCCCCACCTTACTTGTGCAATAAATTTAGTAAACGATCAAATATACATGAATGTAAAGCTAATTTATATATATTATAAATTTAAGTTAATGGGCAATGCTGTCCACAAATTTAGTCTAATTTATATCACAATCGATTTGAATATTTTGCGTGAGGTACAAAGGTCACAGACCCACAGCTGTCATTTGTACCAAAGGTCATCTTTGTATTGGCATAGCGTACACGTGCACATCTCATGACCAATTATCTTTCAGCCAATGGAAATATATCTTCGATGGCATCAAAACATGTAACCAATCATAATTCGGTTAAGCCAGTAAAATAGACCAAATACACCTGAAAGAGATCACCTGTTTCAAAGTCTTAACAAAGTAATGTTCCAAAGCTACTGTAACGTTTTCCCACCCACCCACCACTTCTCCTAAGTGATTACACAAAACACCTATGGTGAACATTATCATGGAAGAACATCATTATTGGAGATCACTATTACTGGAAATCGCTACTAAAGGAGAACGCTATTATTGGAGATAACACCATCACTGGAGTACACTGTCACGGTGCATGATGTAATATAGCATATTATATACTATATGTATTGATCAAAAACAGTAAAGCATTAATAATTGTTGTTATTAATTATTGAAGTTATTGCAATAAAATATTTAATGGTTTGGGGTTGAAGTGCTCCCAAAGGTCACCTTCATGCCCATAGACTCATTCAATGTAAATATAATCGGCCGAGTTATAGGAACTGTCAAAGGGACCCTTACCCATTGGTTCAGGTTAATAAGGTCAGAGGGGGTCACTACCCTTCTGGCATGTGCTCTGGGGACCCTTACCCCCAGGGCAGCCCTAGGGACCATTACCCCTAGGGTTATCAGAGCGGGCCTTATATATAACCCGAAGGACGAAATATAAGGCCATAAAGAGTCTATTGGGTTAAATATACACATAATGTGACACTTATTGTAACAGGGGTACTTCCCCCCCATAACCCTTTCTCCCTCACAAAAGCTGTATGTGTCTACTCTTAATTCTTAGCTCAGTTAGCTGGCTGGAGAGCAATTGTTCCATTAACACTCGTAACCGAGAGCTCCTCCCAATACCGATTTATAATACCACCACTGGCCAGAAAATATTTCATTATAGAGGGGTGAAACTACGGAATGATCTGGACAATAATACGAAACAAATGCCATCTTTGAGAAGTTTTAAGAATAAATTAAAGAAAGACATGTTAGACAGACTGTATTCTTAGCAATGGACTATTTTAATAATAGAAGAT